CAATTTTAACTTTGGCTTTTGAGTCACACCAGTAGTCAACGTGATATAATCAGAGGAGTTAAGGTAACACATGAGAACACAGCATTATGCTGTGTTCGCTTCAGCGGAAAACTCTCTTCAAGAGAATTTGGAAGCGATTTTGCAAGATTTTTTTCGTTCACTTTAGTTTATTTGCATTGATTTGTGAAGATGAAAATGCGGGGAAATGCGAGATAACCATCTCGCAAGGTTCCAAAGATTTGCTATGATTTATACGCAAATTTCATATTTATCCTCGTTTATTTGTAAAATGCCACAAGAATATTAACTTTTTTATTCGATTCCAAAGTTTTTTAATCATGCATAACTACACAAGGTATTTGGTTCCCAAGTCCGTATTCGGTTTACACTTGTGTTTGACACCATGTATTCGGTTCCCAAACCCCTATTCGGTTACACTTGTGTTTGGCCTGACGTTGAACTGTGTATTGAGTTACAGAATGATAGTATTCGGTTCCCTTGGAACATTTGGTTCAAAGCTTCGTGGTGTGGAAGTGCAGTCGCCATTTCGACCAAGCTGGAGGTTGCTTTGGAGTGTTCCAGGTGCCGCATGCAAAGCGTGCAACGGTGACCACCGGAGAAGCCCTGGTTTTCGAAGAACACATTTCTGTGTGTTCAAACAATCCCAAGAACCAACACAGAATAAAGAGAAATTTGGTTGTGAATAAGAGGAATTATTAAAATGAGTAAAAACAAAAAGAAAATCAAACACTTCATAAAAAAAATTGACTCTCTGAAGATAAAAAAAGAAAAGGAAAAGTAAACACAGCATAACAACTAAAAAACTTGAAAATAAATAGATAAACATGAGAAAGGTGGGGACTTGATTGATGAAAGAGATGGAAAGACACCTCTATATATCTTCAAATTCTTCTCTTTACTCATGTCTTACCACTAGTTAATGGACAAAAAGGACTGTAATTTATAAGAGATAGGAGAAATGCAGAAAGGGATGATAATACATCTGAGAAACAGAATCAAGAAAAAAACAGACAATAGAGAGACTCATCCAATCTCAGATTTATCTTCTAGAGCTCTTGGAACCAAACACACACCCTTTTCTTTTCTCTGAGTTAAACAAAAACTCAGCAAGGTTATGCTTTACCATTTGAATAGCATTGCTTGTCTGTTTCTCCAAATNTGTGTTCAAACAATCCCAAGAACCAACACAGAATAAAGAGAAATTTGGTTGTGAATAAGAGGAATTATTAAAATGAGTAAAAACAAAAAGAAAATCAAACACTTCATAAAAAAAATTGACTCTCTGAAGATAAAAAAAGAAAAGGAAAAGTAAACACAGCATAACAACTAAAAAACTTGAAAATAAATAGATAAACATGAGAAAGGTGGGGACTTGATTGATGAAAGAGATGGAAAGACACCTCTATATATCTTCAAATTCTTCTCTTTACTCATGTCTTACCACTAGTTAATGGACAAAAAGGACTGTAATTTATAAGAGATAGGAGAAATGCAGAAAGGGATGATAATACATCTGAGAAACAGAATCAAGAAAAAAACAGACAATAGAGAGACTCATCCAATCTCAGATTTATCTTCTAGAGCTCTTGGAACCAAACACACACCCTTTTCTTTTCTCTGAGTTAAACAAAAACTCAGCAAGGTTATGCTTTACCATTTGAATAGCATTGCTTGTCTGTTTCTCCAAATGACATGTGGAAGAAAGAAAAATCTTTTTCTATGTTTCTTTTTTAATCTTTCTTTTATTCTTCAATAATATTAATTATTGCAGTATTGTTATGTATTTATTCTAATTTTGATTATTATAACCTACATATTAAATTGCCTCTTAAATTTAATTATAATATATAAATGTTTCAGTATGGATGTGGAAACTGAGATACGAACCTAACAAATCTCAACTGCTTCTTCCTGTGATACTGTTACTGTGATATCTCTCTTCCTGTGTTATGCTTTCTGAGGGAAAAATGGGCTGGGTACCTGCAAAGGCACTCTGACGCTCAAGTCAGAAAAGGGATGTACTGAATCCTTTCAGTTCAAAGTGATCTCAGAAGAAGAATAATTTCTATCTCTTAATTTCTCTTAAGGAAAAACGTACCTTTTTTCTGTTTTGATCTTCATATTTAAAACAGTAAAATAAACCGTTTACCTGAAAATCCGGTCAGTTACCGAAGTTGACTACCTGGAAATTGTAACTGTTAGATCGTGTTCGATACTGGGTCAGTTATTCCCGTGATTTGACTAATATTCGTAACTGTTTACTCTTAACCGCTAAACCGTTTACTGTGACACCGCTAATTTAGACATCGCTCAATATATGTCGATCGTCTTGTGTATCGACACAAACATGCGAGTTGTCGTGTGAGCGTTATATGTCGCGACATAACTGGTTGTCGATTGCCAAGTGGTCGACATTAGTATGTAAATGTTATGATGTTAAAAAACGTTCGACATACCTACGATCGTGACATTACGATCGTGAGAAGTCTCGGCAAACGGTCGCCCGGATTACTTGTCTACCGTTGGTGGAATCAGGTATACTACGGTACAATAAATATTTAACAACATTATCCTAAAAACTAATTAAGATTTTGCTTCACAAACCTTCTAATTTAATTCTTAAATAAATAAAAGATAATTTGATAATATTAAATGGGCTCTTAAATTTTAATTTTAATGATTAAATAGTTAAAGTTTAATTTTTTACTCTTTATAAACATTTTACAATTAAATATAACATTAACAATTATCATTTTATATTATTTTAATAATTAGGGACATTTTGTTAATCTTCAATTTTTATCAATTAAACAATCTTTTTTAAGCTTAATAGCCTTTTTTTGTCCCCAAAATTGCTTATTTTTCTCAATTAGCTCCTTCCTTCTAAAAGTGTGTCAAATTAGTCTTTACTTAGTAAATTTTGCGTCAATAAAGTCCATTCCGTTAAATAGAACCAAACAGAGTTAAGGATTGATGATCTGGCACACTATAGTGATAACGTGTCAATGAATTAGAGGCTGACGTAATTTCTCATCCATAAACCCATCTTCCTCATCCTTTCCAATTTCTTCCTCATTCTTTTCCAATTTCTTCCTCTCAACCCTCCTCTTCACCATCACCAACAATGTCACCACCACCACCCCCAAAACCACAATCAACCCAATAACAACCCCACTTAAAACCTTCCAATCAAACACCTTCCTCCAAGATCCCCCGCTCGGAATCCTAACATGCAAAACTCCACTCTCACCATTGATAGTTAAATTCTGAAAATCCAAAAGCGAACCACAAAATTTCTTGCATAACCCACTATGCTTTTCGAAACTCAACCTAACGCACCCACAATCACCTAAGCACTCACGCACGCAAAAGCTTCTAGATTTCCCCTTAACCAGACTAACATTCCCGAATCCAAACCTCACAGCTTCAAGATCTTCAACCCCATCATCCCCATCACACCTAGTGACAACCTTGACAGTAATCATCAGAACCCCACCCATGACCATCCAAAGGCTCAAACTCACTCACACACTCATAGATGTTGGATGCTTCCCCAGTGCAAACCCCGAACCCCCGTAGAGTCCTCGAACCTGACATAAGTCTCCGGCTTGAACCAAAACATCTGCCAAGACCCCGATTGGTTGTTCCATGAGTATTGTTTGACCTGCCTGAAAGGCTTGAGGCGGAACATCGTCAGCGGTCAGAAGCTCGTCTTGATGGCACATTCGGAGAAACCGAAGGCCGCGACAGGGGAGAACGACGCGGCGAAGTGAAAGGCGTAGAGGTAGGAGAGCCACGTGTCCGAGGGGGGAATCGAAGGTCTGCCATGAAACGACGCCGTTGAAAGTGAGGAGGACGAGGTTTCCAGAATCTAGAAGCTTGAGGGTGACGTTGGTGGTGGCGACGACGGCGACAGATGTCCAGAGAGTGGTGTTGAAGTGGGTTAACTGACTGGTTGGGGTGAGTTCAAGGGATGAAGCGGCTTGGGAGGGGGAGGGATGGAGGCGGTTGATGACCCAGATGGTGTTGGGGCTGGGCAAAGAGGTGCGACGGATGACGAGGTAGAATTTCGACGGGCCTGAGCTTGGGAAGAAATGAAGAAGCCAAGTTAGAAAGTATTGTTGAAGTTTTGCAAAGTAGCGTTGCCTTGGAGAATGATGGTGGCGGAGAGGAGGAAGTGTGGAGAATGAGAATGAAGAGAAGAAAAAAGAGGAACATTGGATGAAGTTTTAATTGACATCCAATCTTTTGTTAGCCTCTAATTCACTGACACGTCACCACACATACAACTTCAAATTGACACATTATCATTGCACTGTGCCATATAATCAATCCCTTAATTCTGTTTGGTTCTATTTAACGGAAGAGACTTTGTTGATGCAAAATTTACTAAGTAAAGACCAATTTGATACACTTTTAGAAGGAATGACCTAATTGAAAAAAATAAACAAATCTGGGGACGAAAAAGGCTATTAAGCCTTTTTTTTATCTATCACATCAATCCAATCCTAAACTAGTTCTCATAAACTTTACTTCCAAATCCACTTTTATTTACCTCCAAATCCACTCAAACAAACAACCATTAATTCACCTCCAAATCTCCTCAAATCCATCCACTCACTCTCTCCCAATTCCTCTCCTCCAAGTGAACAAAACATAAAATTTCAAGTTGTAAATTCTTCACTATAACTAAAATATAAAGGATTCTAAAGTTTAACTAAGCTTTTTTATCTTTTCATTTAATTTAGTCATCTTCAATATTTGTACTCTTTCAATTTTTTCAATCTCTATTTTGTTAATTTCAGTCATTTATTTCATTTTTAGTGTTTATTTTTAATCCCTTTAGAAAAATTTAAAAGAGTAAACGTAAACTATTCACATATTTAAAAATAAAAACAATTATAATTCCAGAATTATTTTTAAAACAGTTTTATTAGAGCAAATTATATATATTAATCAGCAAAATATTTAAGCTCAATATTTCTACAAATTTCTTCGTCCCTGTTGTTCCCACCTGTGCGAGTTTCCACTACAATCATCACACACTGTTCACAATAATCACAGTTACTGCGAATCTTTCTACTCAAGCTTCAGAAAAGTGCTTCTCAGATTCGTTGCTTTCACCATGGAGGAACAAATCCCGTTTAAGAATCTCCATAGCCGAGAGTATTCGGGTCACAAGAAGAAGGTACCCTTTTGCTCCCTCTTTCTCATTCATGGTAAACGCGTTCAAAGCTCATCACTTTCGTGTCTCTTATGCTTGCAACCTTCGGTTTGTGTGGAAAACAAGCCCTTTTACAATTTTTCTGCTCCAATTATGAAATGGGTGTCTTTTGTTTTTTCTCCAATAGGTGCACTCTGTGGCGTGGAATTGCATTGGCACAAAACTTGCTTCTGGCTCTGTGGACCAAACTGCGCGAATATGGCATATTGAACCACATGGGCATGTGAGATTACTCCTCATTGCCCCCCTCTAGTTTTTGTGTTTGTGACCCAAATTTTAATTTTGCATTGATATAGTTTTCTCGTAACAGCTGTCTGAAGAATGAGACATGTTATCTTGTTTAATTTCATTGATTAAATTATATTAGCCTTCGGTCCGGGCCTACTTGTAAGTTGTCATACCTGATTATGGCTTGAGGGCTATGGAATAAAAGTGTCATTATTCACGTAGAGATGCTGCCATTTGATTGGAGAAAGAATAAGTTAGTGTTTACAAAGAAATGTAGTAGGTGTGCTGTTTGTGAAAAAATTGAATACCCAAGTGTTGATATCTTGTTTGATAATTTTTCTTTGAAATTACTTTGGGAACCTTTTTACTTTCTGGGGATTAGATACAATGACCTCTAAAGGATTTGGGTTTAGAGGTTTAATCAAGGGTTAATCCTTGAAGTATGTTAGCAGAAGGAAGAGTTAAACTTAATGTTGAAGTGTATCTAGAGCAGGGAAAGGACTAGGTTCTGTTGGAATCAGTGGATGAGGGCTCAAAGGATCACCACCTATTGATTACCTTCTGTGATCCAAAATGACGGTAATGTCAGAGAGGATGTTTCTATTAGATTTCGATCTTGTTTGATCAAATCAATAATGACATTGTGAACTATGCATAGTCTGAAAGGAAATCCTTACTGAAGCTTTAGGTCAACTGTTTATTTTTCCAGTCTCGTTCAGTAAATGAAACATTATGTTTATTGTAGGGCAAGGTCAAAGATATCGAACTGAAAGGTCACACTGATAGTGTGGATCAGCTATGCTGGGACCCCAAGCATGCTGATTTGATTGCAACTGCATCGGGTGACAAGACTGTTCGCTTGTGGGATGCTCGAAGTAAGTGATTATTCAGATACACAAATTATTTTAGTTTGTGATATCATAAGGGAGGAGATTTATTATGACTTTTTATAATTTGGGAGATCTATAATGCATTGTATGTTATATTTTGTTGATCCAATACAAACCTATACCATAATGCACAAATAATTGTTTTTTTTACTTGAAAATGTTTCTGTAGGTAAGACACATGCTTTTTTTATTAATAGCTGGAGAAAATGCTAATTGAGTTAGCTCGACAGAAGTCTAAAGTGATGTAAACAGATTATTTACCGTTTTGATTGGGGGCCAGGGAGGGGGGCTTGGAAAAGGTTTATGATGTTTGGTTTCTGCAGGTGGAAAATGCTCACAACAGGCAGAACTTAGTGGGGAGAATATCAACATCACTTACAAACCTGATGGGACTCATGTAGCTGTTGGTAACAGGGTATGTGACAATCCATTTGCTTTAAGCTCTGAAATGCAGTTGTAGTCATTGGATATCAGTACCGACTATAGGCTGTTTTGCTTGAATTGTTTCTTGTTCTAGAATCATTAGATCTGTAGTTATTAAATAGAATATGTCTATGGTTCTCTTGCTGTTTTTTGGTGTGGTAAAGTTATTCCTTGTTTTGTGTTTAATAGGATGATGAATTAACAATACTGGATGTTCGGAAGTTCAAACCAATTCACAGGCGCAAGTTCAATTATGAGGTATAATCTAGTTTATACTTCATTCATGTTGTTGGATCTGTTTCTTTCAATTTGTTAAAGCCTGTTTTTGAGGATAAGAAATGATGCTGGAATTTGAAAATTATGAGTAACTTGTCTTTAATTAGGCTTTACCAGTTTAATTGGTGAAGTACATATGCTAGGTTTGTGTATGCTTGAACTATTGATCCCATAAGCCATTAGTATATGTTGTATATAAATATATCCCTTTATTTTTATTTTAAGTGAATACAGTTGAGTTTATTCATGGTTTTAGGGCGAGGTTTTTTCTGCCCTTTATTATTAAAAAGATGTCTAGTTCATCCTCTTCCAAGTCAGTGCCTTTTCTCTGCTTTCACTTCTACTCCAGCCATTGCAAGAGAGAAAGTATGGGGTTTATCCATTATTGTTTTGTGGTCCAAGGCTGTTGAGAAGTGGTGTGTTGGACAAGGATTGAAGAATCAACTCTACACTAAGCTTGAAGATGTGAAGAAGGATAGGGAAATTTGCTAAAAATGATACTTTGTTGTTCTGCACTCTGATATTAGGCCCAGAAGCTCATTAGTATATTTTGTGTATAATTATATCCTTGTACTCTTACTTTTCATTTAAGTGAATATAATTCAGTTTCTACATGTTAATCTGATTATCTTCTCTTTTAGACCATCCAACCATGTTGAGGAATAGGAATTGAAATTTTCAGTCCAATAAAGGGCTTGACTCTCAATGCCTTGCTTTGAATGAAACCTGATGAGTCTTTTAAAATATACATACTGTTGTTTTTTCACTATATCCACACAAGTATTGTTAGACCTATCAATTTGGCCCCCCTCACATGGTTTGATCCTGACTTACATGAGTTGTTCGGATAAAAAAACTCACATGACCAAAAAGTCCCTCATTACTATCCCCAAAACCCTGTGGGCCAGGACCAACCCATGGGCCTTCTTTTTAGAGAAGATATTTATCTTGAATACAAGAGAAATGCAATTAACTCCTAATCTATCGGAAATCTAAGTGCTTTTAATTTGTCAAAGAACTAATTTAAACATTTTAATCAGACTAACATAGACTTTGTAAGAGGTTTCAATAAATTTGGTTGCTTGCTTATATAGGAAAATTACGCAGCAACATAGGATGTTGAAATCCTTCCTTGGCTAAACATGTTTAATTTTCTTTGACTTGCTAAACATATTTTTAAAGCATATATGAGTCATTTAATTTTGTTGTGCGAACAATTCATCTAGATGTGAATCAAAACTAAATATGACATCTCAATTTGAATGTTTAAAATAATAAATTTATGAATAATAAGTTTATGGATTTTTTATTATATGTTGTTTAGTTTTTTCTTTTTCTAATGTATGGCAAATTTATACTTAAATTCTGCCAATTATTTATTTCTCTTTAATAATCAATATATATATATATATATAATATTTAGTAATTATAAAAAAACTTTAGTGTGAATTTTATTAGAATTAATTCAATATTCTCATATTTTGGCTAGACTCCATGTTTCTCTTGTCATGTTTGGGATTTTATCACAATGTATTAAGTACTGTGTTATTAAATGTTATAAGTTCTCTTCTTTAAGAAATTGATAAATAGATTATATAGTCAATAACTGTATTAAACTATATATTATAACATAATAAGTATGATGTAAAAATATTAATTTTAAATATAATAAGATTACAACATATTAGACTATCTAATAAAATATATAATTTTATATATGTATATAAATGATATTGTTTCTAAGAGTTAATTAAAGTCTTGTAGTTGGCCAAATTCACCTTAACCTTGATCCTAACCCACTTGAGAGGGGTTTTGGGGACTGGGTTTTTTTTTTGCCGCTTCTTGAGGGGGCTTCCTAAAAGGGTTTTTTTCAAGGGGGGGTTAGGGTTAGGCCATGGGTCATGAGTCAAGTTGACAACTCTAAGTGTAAGTCTTTAAGGATTCACCCTATGTGGAAAATAGTGTGGATTACCGTATAAACGAATACCATAATGCTTTTGCTTCCCGTAACATACCTTCACTTTCTGAACTACCTGTGTTTTTTTGGTTCCTAGCTTTTGATTTCTTCTCTTTTTGCATTCATCTCACCTGAAGTTCTAACTCCTTCATTATCATTGTTTTTCTCAATTACACCAAACTTATATTTTGGGAGTTCATACACGTCTATCTATGATTTACACAGAATACTTAAAAAGTGTACATCCTTTCTTTTTATCACAAAGGGAAACATAACTCTATCAAGAAGAATTGATTCCATTGAACTCAATGATTCTCTTTTTCTTTTTCTAGGTAAATGAGATTGCTTGGAACATGACAGGCGAGATGTTCTTTCTAACAACAGGAAATGGTAAGATCATTGACTGACTTGGTACTTTCTAAAACATGAATCTAAACTTCGGTTTTTATAAAGTAGAGAACTTCCTTATATTTTTATTATTACTTCTTGCCCTCTCAGGGACTGTGGAAGTACTGTCTTACCCATCTCTTCGGCCTCTTGACACTCTCATGGCTCATACAGCTGGTTGTTATTGCATTGCAATTGATCCAGTAGGAAGGTATGTTTCCAAATGTTCGTTATTTCTGGTCTCACTGATAGCATTTCAGTTAGAAAGTTAGATACAAATATACAACCATATATCTGACTCTAAATTTTTAATTTGTTGTCTTCATTTCCTTCAATTGAGTATCCTTACTTTCCATAGAAAAAGTTTCTGCAAAAGGACATAAATAAATAATCCCATGTTATTCTGGCAGATATTTTGCTGTTGGAAGTGCTGATTCCCTTGTCAGCCTGTGGAACATCTCAGAGATGCTCTGCGTGCGTACCTTCACAAAGCTGGAGTGAGTTTTCATTGGCTTTAATGTTTGTGTACTCAGCTTTTCATTCTTTAGGCTATATTGATTGTTTTTATTGTTTGTGACAAATATGGAATGCTTGTTTCTTAGGTGGCCTGTCCGGACAATTGGCTTCAATTATACTGGGCATTTAATTGCTTCTGCAAGTGAAGACTTGTTCATTGATATAGTAAGTTACATGACTCTCTTTCTTGGTTTCTTTCTTAAATGCTTCTGCAAATGAAGACTTGTTCATAGACATAGTAAGTTACATGAAGTTCTTTCTTGCTTGCTTTCTTGTTTTCTTGCTTGCTTTTTTGCTTTCTTTCTTGCTTTCATCTTTCTTGCTTGCTTTATTTCTTACTTGCTTGCTTGCTTTCTTGATTTTTATCTTGCTTTCATGTTTCTTTTCTTTCTTTCTTGTTTCCTTTCTTTCTTTCTTGCTTTCTTTCTTGATTTCTTGCGTTCTTTCATGGTTTCTTTCTTACTTGCTTTCTTTGTTGCATTCTTTCTTGCTTTCTTGCTTTTGTTCTTGCTTTCTTTCTGATAAGACTAGTATTACACAGATGTATTAAATTGTATGTGTATTCCTTTATTGTCTATCTCGTACCAATGTAGTATGGGATTAGATCAACAATCAATTACAATTGAGGTGTTTCGAGAGACCTCACCCTCCACTGCATATTCCACCCAGCTAGGAAAAACAACACAACCCCCCACACGTAAAAAAGTCTATATATAATGTTTGTTGCACTTATACACATAACTGTCTCAACATACTTATTTTTTTCTTCTGTTATATACAAGGCCAAACCTATCATTACCCTCCCCTTGAAGTTTCACCTTGTCCTCAAGGTGAAATTGAGGGAACTCCTTGCTGATGGCAGTTGCTACTTCCCAGCTATTTTTGATGGCCAGAAGTTGTTGCCACTTGATCAAAACTTCCATTTCACCCTGGGCATTTGTTCCTGTATCCAGCAACGCTTATGGAGAGACATCTAAAAGCAATTCTTTGGTGAGTATAGGAGGTGTTGTAAATTGAGATAATATCTTTAGAATCTTCCTAATTAGAGAAAATAGATACATAATCTTTTATTTTATTTTTCCTAGTTTTCCTAGTTTCCCTATTTCTCTTTTTAGGAGAACTAGATTATTACAAATAGAGGGTATGAGAATGTATTTTTTATGATTTGAGAATAATAAAATAAGTCTTATTTCCAACTTGGTGTCAGAGCTCCTGATCTTGGGGCTCGATTCCGTTGCAACAAGTTGCACCGCCACCGCTGTCCGACCGCCGCTGCCGCCGTCGCCGGTTGGGGTCGTTGATAGGGCAGAAAGGTGCGCCCAACACCGGCGATCACAAGCCGGAAGTTTCTCCGTGAGAGGAGCCTCCACGCGTTGCCACGCGCCGCCACCGTTACCGGGCGTGTAGCCTACAGAAGAGTTGTCGGAGTCTCCTGAGTCTGTTTTTAGGGTTGGTGACGACCTTTGACCTATATTTGAGTAGATCTGAGTTTAAAGTTCTGCTCCTTTTTTCTCGGTGTGACTCATACACCGTCATCGTCTTGGAGACTCCTGGTTGCGATCTAGGGGATGTCTGAAGTAAAAATTATTCCTTTAAAAGCAATGGATGAATCAATGAGTAAGCCCTTTGGATCATGTACTCTGTCCATAAAAGGTAGATTGTCTCAATACTGGGATCATGTGTCTCAAGGTGATTTGGATCCTTGATTCGGGTGAACTGATCATATGACACCTTTCAGTGTGTCCTTCAAATATTGGTAAAAGAAATAAAGAACAACTTATTACAGTTGCGAAGGTCGGGGTGGTTAATCCTATATGCGGCTCTGGGAATATAATTTGGACTCATCTATTGTATTAAAGGATGTTTTACATGTTCCTCAATTAGCTAATAGTCTTATCTCTGTCAAAACTCACAAAGGATTAGATTGTTCAGTACATTTTTTTCAACTTATTGTGTTTTCAGGATCTTGCCACGGGGAAGACAATTTTAACTGCTAAGGGGCAGAGTGGGTTGTATTTTGTTAGTTTTTAATGACCAAAGCAACACACAAATCATGAGTCAACAGACTACTCTGAGACGTGGGCAAAATCTCACAATCTGGTACATCATCAAAGGCTTGGGCATCCTTCATTTAGTCTTAATACAGTCCTTGTTTCCCCACTGTTTACCAAAGGAGTCGTTGAGTCTTTTAAATGTGATATTTGTCAAGTGTCAAACATACATCGGCTTCTTATCCTATTAGTCACACAAAAGAGTATTTATCCATTGATTTAATTCACTCTGATGTTTGGGGTCTTTGTCATAATTCTATTTCTGGAGCCAAATGGTTCTACCTTTATGATGATTGTACCGTGTCACGTGGGCATACCTTATAAAAAAAATCCGAAGTTTTTCAAATTTTGTTAATTTTTGTCTATCTGTCCAAATCAATTTGGAAAAAATATCAAAAGAATCAGGTACGATAATGGTACTGAATATGTGAATCATGAATTTCTCAATTTGTTTGTCTCATAATGGTATTTTTCAGAACAACTTGTGTTAACACCCCTCAACAAATGGGTTGTGCAGAAAGAAAGAATCGTCATCTTCTTGAAGTACTAGAGCTTTATTTTGCAATGTGTTCCAAAAAATACTGGGAGAAACGGTGTTAACTGCCACATATCTCATCAACAGGTTACCCAACGTATCTTAAATGGCATTAGTTCTATACCGTCTCTATTGTCTTTTCTTCTTCTTGTCCCTACTAACGAGTCTACCTAGTCGAGTCTTTGGATGTGTTGTTTTTTTTCACTCTCATCATCCTAACCATGGTAAATTAGATCCCAGAGCTTTTAAATGTGTCTTATTGGGTATCCTTCTAATAAAAAGGGTACAAATGTTATCATCCTCAGAGTCGTCGCGTTCTTATCACCATGGATGTCACCTTTAATGAAACCACAATCCTTTATGTCCGTCCACCACTAAAGGGGAGAAGAAGGCACTTGAAGTGGTAGAACTCTCCTTCTTGTCTTACAGTTTGTCTTGCAGATGCCCAAGACATGAGCAAGGAAGCTACAAAGTCCATAGTGAGGAAGAAGACCATATTTGTCTGGCAAAAATATGGGAAAGAAGAAACAACCCACTTCGACTCTCGAGCAAGAAAAAGTCTACTCTGGAGGTGAGGATCCTGAAGATATCAATGAGGAGGAGGTAGTATACTAAGGATTTACCCGTAAGTTAATGAGGGGGTTTGATTTACCATTGCTTGAGAAAGGGAAAGAAAATCAGTGCTAAAATCCTATTTCTCAGTATGTTTGCAATACAATCTCTCTGATAAGCACAAAAGTTTTATTGCAGCCATTGATAGCCACAAAAATTCCTACCTCAATCCAGGAGGCCATGAAACTGAACAGTGGAATCAGCCATGAAAGAAGAGATGAATGCATTAAAAAGAAATTCAACTTGGGAGATTGTTGATAAGCCAAGAGACAAGAGGGCAATAGGGTGTAGATGGATATTCATAGTGAAACATAAGGCAAATGGCAATAGAAAGATATAAAGCTAGATGGTGGCAAAAGGAGTATACCCAACATATGGGATTGATTATGAGGAGACATTTTCCCCGGTGGCAAAGAGAAACAGTTCGAGTATTCTTGCTTTGGCTGCCTATTTGGATGGGACTTCCACCAGCTGGATTGTGGAGAATGCTTTCTTCATGGGAAATCTAGCTGAGGGAGGTGGTACCTGGAGATTCCCCCAGGTTTTGAAGTGAAAATGAAAGAAACAACGTAGCCTAAGCATTGTATGGTCTTAAGCAATCCCCTAGAGCATGGTTTGAAGATTTACAAAGCAATGGTTTCCTTGGGATATCAGACAAAGCCAAGGAGATCATACTCTATTCATAAAGCACTTTTCTACAGGTAAACTACTTATATTGCTTTCTAATGTGATGATATGATTTTGCAGGAGTGAGATGATGAAACAGAAAAATTGGCATTAAAAGAAAAATTGGCAGCTCTATTGAAATGAAAGACCTAGAAAACTCAAATAGTTTCTTGGAATAGAGGTTGCCACTCCAAGAACGGAATTTTCATCTTCAAAGGAAATATGTACTTGATCTCCTAAAGAAACAGGAAAAGCTAGGAGTAGAACCTCAACAGTTCCTATAGAACAGAAAACAAAATGGAAGTGAAGAAAGTGCTCCTGTAGGAGAAGGCCCAATATCAGAATTGGTGGGGAAATTGATTTATCTATCAACACACAAGACCAGACATTGCTTATGCAGTTAGTATAGTAGTCAATTTATGCATGATCCAAGAGAGAGATACAGCAAGAAGTGACAAAATTCTCCAATACTTGAAGTCAAGTCCAGGAAAGGGACTATTATTCAAAAGAGAGACACATTGACTATGAAGATATATATTGATGCTGACTATGTAGGTTCTATTACTGACAAAAAATCTACTTCTGGGTATTGTGTATTTCTTAGAGATAGTCTGGTAACATGGAGAAGCAAAAAGCAAGATAGAGTATCCCATTCCAGTGCAGAAGCTGAATTTCGAGCCCTTGTTCAAGGAAGTGTGAAGGACTCTGGATGAAAATCATTTTGGATGATCTTAAAGTCAAAGGGGAGAACTCGGTGCAACTACACTGTGACAATAAGTCTGCTATGAGCATAGCCAATAATCCAGTACAACATGATAGAACCAAACACATTGAAATTGAAGACATTTCATTAAAGATAATCTTGACAGAGACTTTGTGATTACGACTCATGTTCCTACAGAACTTCAAATAGCAAATATTTTTACAAAAGGGCTTCCTCCGGGTAGATTTCAAGATCTTGTAGGCAAGTTGGGAATGATGATTTTTATTCAATTACAACTTGAGGGGAAGTGTTGTAAAGTGAGATAGATCTTTAGAATCTTCCTAACTAGAGAAAATAGCTACAATCTTTTATTTTTATTTTCCTTGTTTCCTAGTTTCCCTATTTGTCCTATTCCCTTTTTAGGAGAACTAGATTATTACAAATAGAGGGTATGAGAATGTATTTTTTATGATTTGAGAATAATAAAATAAGTCTTATTTCCAACTGGAGGTAAGGCCTGGACAACAGTAGTGGGATGGACTGCACGTTTAAGGAGAGATACATGAAAAAACGGATGGATTCTGCTATGAGCAGGTAGATCCAATTTGTGTGCTACTGACCCCATTCTCGCCATGATTTTTGTAAGGTCCATAGAACCTAGGACTAAGCTTCTCATTAGGCTTCTTGCCAAGGATTTCAATCTATATGGCTGTAACTTTAGATATACCCAATTCCCCATTTGATACTCCACATCTCTCCTATCTTTGTTAGCTTGCACCCTATGCTTCTTCTGGCTTTTTTATA